TAATGTGAGGAAAGATGTTCTCTCTGTGATTTCAGAAATAATTTCTGCCTCCAGTAAAGGACCATCTACATGTTCTAGGGAAAATGGACAGTAATTAATGTTTACATTCTATTGATCATTGCTTTGAAAAGATGCACACTGGGGTCATGAGCTACTAATATTTGTAGCTTCTCTGCACTCATGGAAACCTGCATGGTGGGGGAGGTAAATTACAGCAAATAAACTTCATCTCATTGAGTTTTTGCATGTGGAAATATCTGTCGGTTGAAACTCATATCAAGGGCATTTTAGGAAACGTGCTGATCTGCAGAAAAGTATGGATTTTCTTTCACAGCTCCTGCTTTTATGCTTCTCCACAGTTTAGCACTTGCACCAAGACCCTCTTGCCTGACTTCTCACCAAAGATGGATGTTACAGTTGCTCATTGTGATAGTACTGATTTTAGAGGTCACCAGTATTAGAGAGATGTCATAGCTGGATCACATTATAAAACACCTTTAACTCAGGTCTCTATTCATGAATTTGCAAGTAGGTAAAAGTCTATAATTTAGTATCGATATCCACAGGCTTGGACCATGGGTCATAGGAATGGTAGAATCAGGACTTGAATGATTGTTTTGAGGTTATTTGATAAATATAAGTGGCCTTACCCAGGAACCCCTCCTGCTTCCATGTGGTTGGCCAAGGTGACGTCGTGTGACCACACATCGTACTGCCACTTCTGCAGACCGATCACGCCACACAGGACGTTCCCAGAATGCACTCCCACTCGCATGTTGATATCAACTCCAGTGGCATCTCTCACTTTCCTAAAGAGATGGGAAGTGACATCACAACTCAGTGACAATCCCTTCCTCCTTTAACTCCTGGACAATTTTCCTGGCATTTTACTGTTGGAATTTCTCAGACTGTTGGAAATCCTGCCATTAATTCCTTCTATGGCAGAAGGTTGCTGCTCTGAGCCAAGAGAAAGGGCTTTTCTTTCCAGTCACTCTCAGATTAGACCAAAAGCTAGTGAAACTGGATCAAGCCAGACCCTGGGGATGACAAAGCATTTTGGCAGTAGCTTTTGCTCTATCAGCTAATACATATCACGCACCTGTTATGTGCTGGCACCTGCTCTGCCTTCTCCTACTAGAAGCATGTGACATTGCCTTGTAATATCAGAAACGACCTTGGACACCATCTGCAATTCTAGCGTTTCATGCAAAGTATGTCCCCAATGAATATAATCTTCTCATAAGGGAATAATACAGCTTGTTTGTGAGCTTACTAATGACTTCAGCCTAAATAAGCATTTTTAAAAAATAATCCTGAGATTAAAGCCTTTCAATTGTGCACATTCTTTAACAAGAAGAGAAAAAAATTGCTTTTAAAAAAGCTTTAATAATGCATAAGGTATCACAAAAAAGAAGCCAATTTTTAAAAAAAATCATTAAAAAAACACTTTAGGGCCCTTTCACCAACTCGTTAACAGAGACAAATGAAGATCTTCAACAAAGGGATATTGGAAATACTTGGCAATGCTTATTTATTTCTGCCAGCTAAAAACACTTATCCGTTAATGTACGAGTATTATTGTAAAAGGAGTACACAAGGAGATGTCCCTAGTTACCCCGAGGACAGCGGAAATTTATTTCTGCCAGCTAAAAACACTTATCCGTTAATGTACGAGTATTATTGTAAAAGGAGTGCACAGGGAGATGTCCCTAGTTACCCCGAGGACAGCGGAGGGAAGAAACCACGCAGCACAGTAGAGACCAGACGCTAGCGGTGTGCCGTGTAGCATGGGAACCCCCCACACCCCACAAGGGCACAGGTATGTGCATCACCTTAAGTGATACAATGACATCATTGTAGCATGCTGGCAGTGATAAAAAAGAATCAGACCCATGAGGTGTAATTAAATGGCATCCTGGAAAAGGAATATGGAAAGCTGTTTTCCTTCCACTTTCCTTTCCTTTCTCCATACTTCCTTCCCTCATTCTCTTCCTGTCCTATTTTCACGCAAAAAAAAAAAAAAAGACAGCAACCTATTTAGCACTATGCAAGTCATCCAAACTCTTCATTCCTGCTGCACAAGATGAGCCAGAGGATAAACGTGACAAGGGAGACCCGCCCCCTGCCACTCCGCCCTCCATCAGCCACGAAGCTTGTGCACCTCCAGACCACACTCTGATGCTCTCTTCCTGCTCCCCACTCCCCATGTCTCCCTTCCCTGCCAGGGTGTGGTGTCACCTGTCCACCTT